GAGACAGAGGGAAACCGAAACAGAGGATGGGCAGCAGCATCTTCTTCATTATCATTATTAAAAATAATGCTTTATTTTTAATTTGAGTTTTTCAGACATAAGATAGTGTACCTTCTTGCCAGGACAGCTTTTTTCAGAACCGAAAAAGGTAAATGTAAAAATTGAGTCATACAAAAAAAAAATTTTATTCTGTTCTATTCTTTCATGGGTTCGACATAGTTAGGGTCGGTATCACTAAATAAGAAATTAAAAAATAATATAAGTCAGGGTTGAAATTTCTTGACTTCCGTAAATAACCTTGAAGGCGTCGTGACATTGACATTGAAGCGAGTGACTTGTTAGTAACTACAATAGCGGGCTGCAAAACTGATCACACTTCAGTATTGAGTGTGATCAGGCTGCAAAGCCCGCTAAAGCTGATCACACTCAATGAAGACACACACTCACACAAAAAAGCCCGCCCGCTTTACATTTCTTATAATATCTCTATATATTGTATAATTTTCTGTACATGTAATTGTCACTGAACTTTTTGATTTTGACGAAGTAATTTTTGTATGTGTTTGATTGGGTACCTGATGGGGTTAGATTCACAATTTGACCCAGTAGTCGGCGCTGTAGTCGAGTTCCAGAAATCACGCGTGCGAAGCTGGAGCGGGTCGCTAGTTATATCTATGATTTGTGAATTTTAATATTTATTTAGATTTTCTTATTTAGTTACTAAACCTCTCAACACTTGTTAAATCAAAAAGTAAAGTAACTGCCTTTTTACGTCCCACAGCCGGGCACAGGTCTCCTCTCCTTTCTCAGAGAGCAAGAACATGTCCGCTGCATCACACTAATTAGTAAACCTCTGCATAAGCGGTGGTATAGAAAAACCACAAAACACTTTTTTTTTCTTTATTTTATTTACTGAGTGCTTTCAGATGTTTCAAATTTTTGTCTGAAGGACTCTTTACAATTTAGGTTATAAATCGCCCGAACGGCTCTCTTCAAAACAAATATAGCTTTAATATCAGTCGCATTACCCCATAGCAAAATTCTATAAGACATTACGCTATGAAAGTAACTAAAATACACTAATCTACCTGTCTCAACATCTGTGAGAATTCTAATCTTTCTTACAGCATATGCTGCAGAACTATGTCTGCTTGCTAATTAAGATATATGGGGGCCCCATTAAAGTTTCGCGGCAATAGTAATACCGAGCAAAACAGTGGTATTCACAAGACTCCACTCCTCCCCATTTAACAGCACAATGGTATTCGAATGAACGACGAATCTTATTGCCGTTTAAGAGCAAATTGTTGGCGTTTTAAACTAATGTACTAATTTTGATAGAGCATTATTTACATCGTCATAATTAAGTGACTGCCGTTTGAGTTTGAAAATTAAAGAGGTATCGTCAGCAAATAATACTATATCGTGACTGTCCCCTACAAGATAAGGTAAGTCATTAATATAGATTAAAAACAGGAATGGGTCAAGAATCGAGCCCTGAGGAACGCCCATTGTTACTACCGATCCGGAGGAACATATACCATTGATCACGACTTTTTGAGTTATGTTACTTAAATATGAAGTAATAAGTCTAAGCGCCAAATTTTTTACACCGTAATTTTGTAGTTTCCTGATTAATGTCTCGTGATGAACACAATCGAAAGCCTTGGAAAGATCACATAAAATACTTAAGGCATCTTGTGAATTCTCCCAGGCATTAAAAATGTATTTCATAAGCTCAACACCGGCGTCAGACGTTGAGCGACCCCTTGTAAAAACAAATTGGTTTTTATGAAGTAATTTATTTGTATTAAAAAAAATAACAATTGATCCGAAATTATTTTTTCAAAAATTTTACTGAGAGTTGGTAGTACAGAAATAGGTCTAAAATTAACGGGGTCCAATGTTCTACCAGATTTAAATGAAAGTATTAATTTACTATACTTCATTAAATCAGGAAACACACCACAATCGATACAAGTATTAAAAATAATAGCAAGATGAGATGCAATTAAACATTTTATGAACGCAATAACTGTAACGGAAATCCCCCACAAAGCTGCGGTTTTCTTTACATCAATGGTTTTGAAGTATTTTACAATATCTTGCGGTAATAATTTTTCAAATCTAAATTCTTTTAAACAGGTATTAATATTCTGTTTGAGTAATGACTCGGCGAAAGTTGGAGAAGTATTCAATGACTCTGTTGTCAAGATAGGAATATCAGTGAAATATTTCTCAAACACCGCTGCGACTTCTTGGTTTGATTTAGTCAATTCATTGTTAATTTTTAATTGATAGTTTGAGTTACGAGGTTTGTCTTTACCGGTTTTACTATTAATTATACTCCACGTCATTTTAATTTTATTCTTAGCCATCTTGTCATTTTTTGCTAATATATGCATTTTAGAATAATTTTTGACATATTATTTAAAAGCATCAGAAGGATTTTATGATCTTACATGATAAAGGTCATATAACCTTCGACTGCTTTTATGAATTCCTACTGTCGCCCACTCATTAAATGCCTTGCGACTTTTTCTGGAGAATGTTTTAGAAGTAAATGTTTTATTAAATTCACTGTCTATAAGGGTAAATAATTCTCCATATAAATAGTCTGCATTGTTTTTATAAGAAAGCAATGGAAGGTTTTTTACCATATTACTTCTAAATCTCTCCAGGCGTTTTGCATTAATAGGAACAAATACAATTTTCTCAATTTCCTGTTTTTTGTGCATATAAGGTAATGGAGGGGGATGAGTCGCTCGCGTCCGTAGGCTTCGACCACCTAACCCTAGGCCCACCCTACACTTGTCCCCCGGGTGGTGCTAAACGAGCGACAAAGCTGAAACGACAGACTCGGCTCCTTGCCGTGTGGTAGCGGCGTCAAATCTACCAACCCTTATGTCGCACCATGAGCCAACAATTTAAAGAAATGGCCCCGAGTTTCCGGCGCCCCTTTAATGGGGCTGGGGTGCGAAGAATCTCCGGGAGGAAAACCGGCGACGAGTTTCGCCACCCGTCACGTCCTGTCCCCCGGAGGGGCGAAAAGTGGATTGCGGAGGCCCGTCTGGCTACGCTGAATGTATGTGGAGCAATGAATGATAAGATGAATGAAATATGCGAAATGATGAATGATAGAGGAATAGATGTGTTATGTGTGAATGAGACGAAACGAAAAGGAAGAGATGTCACTGCACATGGTATGTATACCGTTTACTGGGCTGGTGTAGACGAGACCGAGCAGGCATGCCAGGGAGTCGGTGTCATCCTTTCAGAAAGAATGGGTCAATGTGTGTGAATGTGTAAGCCCAAGGCTGCTGTGGATACGAATGAAAGTGGGCTTAAAAAAGTTGTTTGTGCTTGGGGTGTACGCCCCAGATATGTCTAAGCCCACTTATATCCGAGAGCAGTTTTGGGACATGGTAAGGCTGATGTTGACGAAATGTAAGGAAAATGAAAATATTATTATGTCAGGAGATTTTAATGGAAGGGTTGGGTTGAAGAGGTCTGGTTATGAAAGGATATTAGGAGCGTTTGGCGATGATAGAATAAATGAGAATGGTGAAGACCTCCTCACCATATGTGTGGAAAAGAATCTTTTTGTGGCAAACACTTTCTTTCGCCATAAGAGGATTCACATGTATACTTGGGAAAGAAGAGATGATAAAAGCATGATAGATTTCATAATTGTGGATGAAAGAATGAGGAGCGCAGTGGTAGATACAAGGGTTTACCGTGGGTCCAACGTAGGGACGGATCATTACTTGGTCTTATGCGTTGGCGGCATCGGACATCTGTGTCTACCACTGCGTTACAGCGTATAAGAATAGAGAGGTTACAAGATGAAGGTGTGAAAGAGAAGTATAAATGCAGACTGAGGAAAAATATAAGTGTGTTGAATGAATTATGTATGAATGATTTAGACTTGAAGAATGTATGGAATAATGTTAGGAAAATTTGGTGGCTACAGCCACCGAAGTATGTGGTGTAAGTAAGAGAACGAATTCTGTGAACGAATGTGGTGTAAGTCATTACGTAGTATACTAGGGCTGCGTCTGAATGACATGGTGAGAAATAGTGTGATAAGAGAAATGTGTGGTTTGCAAGATGACGTTGTGACTAGGATTAAAAAAGTAATGCTTCGGTCGTTTGGTCACGTAGAAAGAATAAACGAGGAAAGAGTGACAAAGCAAATTTATGTTTCAGAAGTGAACGGCAAAGTTGGGAAAGGACGCCCTCGACGAAGATTTATCGACCAAATCGGCGATACATTGAAAATGGGCCAGATTAGGAGTACCCTTAACCGACGAGCGTGTATGCGTAAATATATGGATGTAAAGGAGGCGAGAGAAGTGTGTCACGATCGCGCCAAATGGAAGTCCGTAGTCTCTGCCTACCCCTCTGGGTGACAGGCGTGAGTGTTTGTTTGTCCAAAGTGATCAAACTAAGTTTTTGAATTATTGATTTGTTGATTGGTACAACATCTGTAAAAATATTATCAATACGAGTTGCACTACACCCTGCAATACGTGTAGCTTCAAAGAATAAATTATCAAGATTATAGGATTTGAACAAAGAGCAAAACTTAATACTATTGGAAGAAGTTTCCAGGAGATTGATATGAAAGTTTCCACACACTACAAGGGATTTATTCTGATTATTAAGCTTAACCCTTAATTACTCGCGTGGGGTATATTTAACCCCACGGCGTATTTGAAGCGTCGTATCTCCGCCATTTTTAAAGTTACCTCCATGCCGTTCTTAGTAGCTGCCTAAATACCTCCCCCCGCCGCGAATCAGTCACGAGCGCCGCTCCGTGTCGTGTGGTTGTGTCAGGAGATCGTGTCTGGGGTATATATTGCCCCACGCGAGTATTCGTGCAACTTTTTTTGGACAAGTGAGTATTTTTATTTTTTAATGTGCAGTACAGATACTAAATGGTTAGGTTTTTTTACTTATCTTTGTTTTCTGTTCTTTTTTAGGTTATAACACCTAAAATGGCAAGTAAGCGTCTTTCTAACTACCAGATTCTTGAGTGTATATTAGAAGACGACGAAGAAAGCATCATAGATAGTCCCGATGAAGATGAGGGAGACGATGAAGTGATCCAGAGTGACCACAACTCAGAATCTGAAGAAAGTGCCAATGAAACCGAGTTAGAATGGAGTGATGACGATAATGAACCGCTGAGTAGACACGCAAGTAAAGATTCTGATAGCTTTTATTTATCAAAAAAGAAATGCACAAAGTGGGCAAAAGAGCCGCCGCGTACTAGCGTTCGAGTTCGTAGACACAATATTATGAGGGAAACACCAGGACCTAAGGGAGCAGCCAAGGAGATACATACAATGTCAGAAGCATTCTTTTGTATGTTTTCAATGGATACTGTCAATTTAGTACTGCAACAGACCAACGATTACATAAAATCGATACAAGGAAAATTTCAACGCGAACGTGATTGCAAATTCCTAGAATACGAAGAACTTTTGGCTTACCTAGGTTTGCTTTACATGTCTGGTGTGCTGCGTTCATCTCACTTGAACTTCAAAGATCTGTGGGCTACCGATGGAACAGGCATCGAGTTTTTTCAAAACACAATGTCATTCAACAGATTTCTTTTTATATCAAGATGTGTTCGTTTTGATGACAAAAATACTAGATTTGAAAGGCAAAAGACAGACAAACTAGCAGCAGTCAGAGAGTTCACTGATTTGATGAATAATAATTTCATCAATAATTACTCTGCATCTGAAAATGTCACCCTAGATGAACAATTACCTGCCTTTCGAGGAAGATTTTCTGGTGTTGTTTATATGCCCAACAAACCCACGAAGTACGGCATAAAGCATTATGCACTCGTAGACTCGGCAACATTTTATTTACTGAAATTTGAAATTTATGCTGGAGTACAACCTGAGGGTCCATATCGAATGCCTAATGATACAGTAAGTTTGGTAAAGCGCATGACAGAACCCATCTGGGGTACTGGTCGAAACGTTACGATGGACAACTGGTTCACTAGCGTCCCTCTTACAAATACGGTTCTAAAAGATCACCAGCTTACTATGGTTGGAACTATTCGCAAGAATAAGCCGGAAATTCCAACTTGCTTCCAGCCCAAACGAACACGAGCTGAGCATTCCAGTCTGTTTGGTTTCCAAGAAGACGTAACACTTTGCTCTTACGTTCCAAAAAAATCTAAAGCTGTACTGCTGATTTCGTCAATGCATCATGACAATAAAATAGTTGAAAGTGAAAAGAAGAAACCGGAAATTATTTTGTACTACAATCGCACGAAAGGTGGCGTAGATACCAACGACCAAATGTGTGCTAACTATAACGTCGGCAGACGTACAAAGAGATGGCCTATGGTTATATTTTATCACCTTCTCAACGTTGCTGGTATCAATGCATATGTCATTTATAAAAATAAAATTGACCACGGAATATCAAGAAGGGAGTTTTTGAAGCATCTTGCAGTTGATTTGGTAAAGGCTCGCCAACAAACTCGAGCAACTATACCACAACTGCCTAGGGCCGTACAAAAACGGCTAAAAAGAAATGCTCAAGTTCAGGATCCTAGCCCCACTTCCAGAGGTGGTCCATCGACAACTTATAAAAGGTGCCATATCTGTCCAAGGTCGAAGGATAAAAAAATAAGATTTATGTGTGCCAAATGCCACCAGCAAGTTTGTCACGACCATTCCACTATGATATGTGATAAATGTATTGATTAAAAAGTTCCTAAATTTAAAGTTTCATATCTTTAAAAGTTTTTAAGGATACTATTACAATTTAGAACAATGTTGCCTCTTTCAAATTTTTATAATAAAAAAAAAGTATGTCATTAAAAATATGTCATTAAAAATATGTTTTATTGTACCTTTACAATTGGGGTTATATATTCCCCACGCGAGCGTAAGTGTAACTATATGGACGCGAGTAATTAAGGGTTAACTAAAACTTCTTCCATAATTTTTTCAAATGTATCATAATTTGAACATGGGGGTCTGTAAACACTGACAACAGTAAGATGCTCAAGCTCAACACATGCCATTTCTACAGTACGCTCAACAGAGAGGCTCACAATGTCTTTACTGACTATTTCGTTAGTTTAGTAGTTGTAAGCACGACTGCTGATCACGTTGTCCTAGTTTTGAATCCTGAGTTGAGTCAAAATCAGTTTTTATGATTTCCTTAAAAGAAAATTTCATAAGCAGCCTGGAGCCAAATGTTTGGCGGTGTTTCATGGTTTAGGTTCATCGTGTGTCCGATACTTCCCATGACTGCATCAGATTGCTATCCCATGAGTATAGGTATAGTGTTTATAGTGGTTATGCAAATTAACAAGAAGACAACGAAAAGTTTGCGCAGATCTGAAAAATTCCAAGTAAAAATGGCGAAGAATTAACAGACCCACAAATCCCTCTCTATGTATATTCTAAGTGATGATTACTTTTGACTGAATGAAATACAAGTGACGGTCAATTTTGAGTTATACTTATTAGGATGTCCAATGGCCAATGGCCAATGTCCATGTCTAATTTTTCTGATAGAAAATCACAAGTAAAGACTGTATAAAAACTCTATCACTAAATTTATGATAAAAAGAGTCAGAAATAATAAAAATGTTATAAGAAAAAAATCAGCATAGAAAATATCAATTGAATTGCCCATAAATAAAAGAATAAATTGTAACTCCTCTTTATGGTCAAATATTATTATTATATTAATGTATTTATGTAAAGGTTATACCTTTTCCGTAGGTAAAAAAAAAACAACTATAATATTTATAACTTATTAGTTTTTTTTAATTATAATTATTCATTTATTTATTATACAAATACACATTATTTATTACTAAGAACTTTATATCATAAATATCATAAGGTCCTCCTCCCCGCGGTGTACTGCCACGAACGCTGGTTAATCCTCCTCGCTAAACTTGGCCTATGAGCGATAAAATAACTTTTTATACGCAGTAGAGCCATGCTGCAGCTATATTAGTAGTATAGATGTAGCACGAATGAATCAGTTTGACTGGGAAATGACCACGCTCTCACAGGATATCAGCGTAAAATAGCAGCTTAACACTGCTGCGTTTCGTATGGTGAGTGTAGAGAACTAGAGACCCTTTTTACTGGAAAATTCCATCTTAGTCCTCACGGGTGAAACGCATCTGCATTTTGATTTGCAAACGAGAATAGATGTAGTTTTCTGTGGGCCACAGCAACAACTTACTATCAGGTGGATTGTGTGCTCGTTTGTCACCCTATCCTATAAAAAAACAAGCCCTCTTATCGCCAAATCTAATATATTGGAAACTTTACCATACGTAGACCCCACGTACGAATAGACTCTACAGCAAGTGGCACAAATAGCTAGTCCTCTTTTAGAGACTCATGTTTGCGCGACATACATTGTTCAGCTATCTCCGATACTGTCTCGGCTCTAAACGATAACTTGGTATCCTGAGATAAGAATTATTATGATAGGTATCTGTCTAGTGTGTGGGTTGTCACAAATGAGGACTAAGATGGAACGCTTCACAGCCTGTATTTATACTGGCCTTCTATGAACTTGAGATCGGAACACAGCAGTAAAATCGGTGCAATTTAACGGCAGAAATAGAAAAGATGTTGGTACTTACCCCGACAGACTCCAAGGTAGAAAAGGAATTACACCATCTAGTATTAATTCCGTTCCGTTGTTCTAGTCCCTTTGAAAACTCACTTCAGAAACGCATTCGTAATTCTTTTACCGATGTAACTTTGATTTTTCCAATACACCGTAATATAGGATGATATTATTATGTCCTAAGCAAAAGAGGGAAATGAAATAAGAGATGGCCAGCAGAATCGTTCTGTTAACAATTCAAAGTAATAAAACCACCCACCTGTATCCAGAAATGACAATCACAGATTATTAACATCACAACTCGAATAGGGTTACAACGGACTAATTGGACCTTTAGAGTCGCAAGCTTTCTAAGCTGAAGTAAAGACTAAAATTTAAAAGTAAAGTAATGAACTATTAATAAGCAAGTAAATAAATGTGCTGTCATAGAATTTCTTTTATGTAAAAATAATTAATTGCTGAATAAGCAATTTGTGATTTAAGAAGCTGTATTCATACCATAGTGGCGCTTAATTTATATTTCACTTTCAAAAAGCTTTCGTTCAACCGTGGCTCTCGTAGCAGGAGCATGCTACGACTCTCATGAAAAGCGCGCTACGCGGAAAACTTCTACGTAATGTATCCAATTAAAACACAAAAATGTAGGAGCATTTCTTAAAAGAAATGATAAATATTAAGATAATTTTAATTAGGTAAATACGTGGTTTGAGACAATATACCTATTTAATTTAAAGTGTCGAATAAATTTCAGTGTCAGAACAAATGTGACTATAATAACGTGGCTTCATAATTATATTTGAATTAAAATATAATGAAGGTATGGCAAGTTATAGTAATTTTAACTTTTTTCTTTAAGGAAATCCATAATAATACTAGCGATCCGCCCCGGCTACGCACGGGCGATTTCTGGATCTCTGGGTCCAATTCTAGCTTAGAACCATCCAGGTGACCCCACCAGTACCCCATACAAATTTCATAAAAATCAGTGAAGTCGTTAAGGAGCAGAAAAATCAAGAACACACGCACATTGGAATTTTATACATAAACATTATATTATATTATTTGAATGTTTGAGATGTTTGGATTTTCGTACTCTATCAAATTTAATTACCTAAACGGATTTAGAAGAAATTTGTTGCACACACACACACACACACACATAAACACACACACACACGCACGCACACACACGCACAAACGCACACACGCACGCACGCACACGCACACGCACACGCACACGCACACGTACTCGCACACGCACGCGCACACGCGCACACACACACACACACACACACACACACACACACACACACACACACACACACACACACACACACACACACACACACACACTAGGACCATATTCTGGACGATCCATTAAATACTTTAACCAAGAGAAATAAATGATACCGCGAGGATGTAATTATGAAACTGTTTTTGTTTCTACACGAGCAAAATTCTACTAAGCTACCACGACACCGCAAACTTTATTACTAATGCTATATATTATTACTATACTATAGTAGAACTATCTGCCGCGTTGGTCTGTGGTCGTAAGCATGACTTCTGATCATGTGATTCTTGGCTTGAATCCCGGGTAGTGCTAAAATCAGTTATTGGACTATTTTGTCAAGAAATTCTCAGTATCAATGCAAAATCATAAAGATGGCGATGTCTTACCCTCGTGCTTTGCAGAGCACTAAAAGTCTTAGATCCTGCTGATCTATCTCCCGTCGTGTACTATAATTCTGTCCTGCACAGATAGCTACTAAGCCTGGCAGTATCCATTGACACTGCCCGTCGTGAACGAAATTCGGTCGGGACGACAATATAATTGTACTTAATTTTAAAATTTGTCAGACACTGTTATTCTTTTTTTATTTTGTAACTTTAATGTCTGATTCAAAGACATTTGAAGTTCGCCAATACGCATTGTGGCAGCGCGGCATACCTTTCCTTGTCTGTTTGTTTCCTGTCTCATAAAGACTGGAGCCCCGTAATTTTACTTTTACTTTTTTATTTTATTTCTTTTATTTTTGACTTTGTAAATGAAATATGTAAAATTATTATTTCATTTGATATTCATATATCATAGTATTTCATTATACATAGTTTGAGAATTACTAAGATTAATAACTTTAATATTTTGTTCTAAACCATTGACTTATTAATTTTGGTACTAAGAATTTGTTTTACTTACTAAATTATTTGTTTTTTTTTCTTATTATAAGCCAGTACTTGACCACAATCCCACCTGGAGGTAAGTGGTGATGTAGCCTGAGATGGTAAATCGCACAGGCTTATCGTAACAAAAGCCTATGCACTCATGGCTTGAAGACGCCCAGATTGTATTCGGACGGAAAGATGGACGCCCTTAAATTATTTCACTCCTTTGCTGTACGCCTTACAAAAGTCGAAGCAAACCGTTTGGTTCTAATGCGTGGAATATCAACAACAAAGGGATGAAGAAAGGTGTTATCTTATAATAATAGTATATTCAAATACCACACAGATATATATAATATTGTATAGCATAAACGTAATAAAAAAACTAAAATGATAATTTAAGTTTTTAATTCTAGTATTACTATAAGTATACCCGCAGTATATAGCCAAGAGCGCCAGCTGCAATTTCTTATTGTAAGTCGAAAAAGCTAAGTTGTATACAATAAATCTAAAATCAATGAAAATTGGCCCTTGTTTCCCTATTGGGACTTGAACGTACGAGGGTATAACTTTCCCAAACACTTATAACTAAATAACAGCTTATCACTCATAGATTTCATAGAATTGCTTGTGAGCGGTGCTTCCTTTTTGAAACAGAAACAGAAACTTATTATTTCATATAGATTATAAATAATACTTATTGAAAGTCACTCTTTTGTTTAATTACCAATGGTTCGATAAAAAAACCTCTGTCCTGGGAAGATCCAGCAAGAAACCCAGCGGGACTTTTTTTTAATAACAATTACTTACAATCATGTATGTTACACAATTAATAATACAAAACAAATTACAATATAATCATCTTTTTTATACAAACTTAGTTTAATAAAGTTTTTGAACTTTGAGCAGGTCTATTTTGTTTATTTTCTGGGATTTTGTTGTAAAAGCGCTATACATCAACCCAAGAATGAATTACTGACTCGGTGGAGACGAGCAAGTGGTTCTACTAGCCTGTGTATGTACCTGGTATTTACAGCATGAATATCACTTATTTTTGTAAAACTACTTTTATTTTTGTGCACGTACATAACATATTGTTAGCCCAAAGTTAATTTGTTATTAATTTCCTTAAATTTTTGTCGCAGCGACTTTATAGGTTTTAAATCATTAATTGTTCTTACGGCCCTCTTCTATTAAACAAATATTTTCATATGTATATATTGTTCAATGTCAGCCGCGTGTCAACAGAGCAAAATACCATACGACATTGTGCTATGGAAATAGCTAAAGTAAACCAGTGTTTCAACACTGGAAAGATTTCTAATCTTTTTTACAGCATATGTTTAACGTTTCATTCACTTAACATTTTTAAAGTGCTTAGTTTGAATTTATAATGGCTGCATTTTAAAAATTACTAACTCCAAACTCAGACATACATACATTCACACAAAAATGACTTACCCAAATACAAGAGTCACGTTCAAATTTCTAATTTTGGATTTAAAAGTGAGTTATAGGAGAAAATATGTTAAGATTTCTTTTATCATAGTTTTGGATGTCAGATAAAGAAAAAAAATATTTAAAGCATTTTAAGTGATAAGAGGGCTGGTTCTCGCTCAAAGGCGATACTGCGGGGAGTAGGACTATATGATAATTGAGTTTCTAGTTTTAGTTTCTTTTATTATTATAGTTTTTAATATTTTTTATAATAATTGTATAAAATATTATATTGTAAATTATGTTTGAAAAAAATTTAACGCATTGTATTAAATAGAAATTAATATTTATTTGGTGTTATTTCATTAAAATAGTTATTTAAAGTTAATTTAATGATACATAGAATTGCGTTATTTTTATACTTTTTGAGAAATGTTATTCGCAGAGCAATACTTTACTTCTATTTTTATTATCAAAAGAAACTTTTCGCTAATTAGCTAAATAATCATGATAATTCAAAAAATACAAAAGCCCAGGATATGACGGTGTCAATGTAGAAATACTCAAATGTGAATGCTTGTGTCCGTCCCAGTGAGAGCCAAACACTAGTTCACTTTGGAACCTTACCCATACTATGGCGGATATCTGCCTTAATTGGCACACGTAGCAGGTGGGTTGACTATCGCAGTTTTTTTAATCAAAGTCATATTTGACCGTTAACTGGCAGCGTAAGAACATCCTATACCCTGTCGTAACAAACGACAGAGGGATACTGAGGCGGGTGAAAGGTAGCAGCATCTTTCTGATATCAACTAAAAATTACAAAAACTGCGGTTGTTAACTTGCTTGGAAAGCATGGCAGCTATGGAAAAATTTCCCCTATGAGGCAATCTGTGGGGGAGTCTTATGTTCAGCGGTGGACTTTTATAGGCTATAATGAAAAAGTTGTTAAGAGAAAGATTCCCCCGGCAAACCGCTGGTTCGTTTCGCCCTATCAGTTTTCACGACATCCACAAGACGATATTGGGTAAGATATTCTCACGATATGGTCACCGAAACTACAAGGTCAACCGCCACTATCACGCGGTCAACTGATGACTGACACTTTGACTTGTTACCGATTCTGTACAGTTTTATATGCAAGAGCCCAGAGCATGAGTACCTATGTTCTTCGGGATGCATGATTACCAGCGTGAAATAGTAGCTTATTGCTGCTGTTTATCATCTGATGATTGTAGAGACCCGAAGACCTCATATTACTGGATACGAGGCATTCCATCTTAGTTCTTAGGGGTGAAAATGCATCTGCATTTTTTTTTTAATTAAGGATAGATGTAGATGTCTATGAGGTACAGCATTTTTTTATTGTAGTAGAGCCATGCTGCAGCTATATTGTGGTTGCAGCATGAATGGATCGGCTTGACCGGGGTAGGACAACGCTCTTGTAGAATACCAGCGTAAAATAGCAGTTTACTGTTGCTGTGTTTCGTATAGTGAGTGTAAAGAACCGGAGACCCTTTTTAATAAAAACCATTACATTCGATTTATTACCTTAAAAGTTAATATAATTATTAGATAGACTTTAAAAATTAATATATTATATCTATTCTAGGTTTTATAATACCGTCTAAAGCCTTTGTGAAAAGTAACATTTAATTTACCTACAGTTTTCCAAAATCAGGAGAAAGAAATTAACGCACAATTAGTTATATTTAATGACATATAAAATAAAGCTGAGAACACGTTGAATGTACTTGGAAAAGTTTTAATATCGTGGTTCGTAGGTTCTGTATGACTCTTGACATTGTAACTCGGGCTTTTAAATACATTTAATATTTAACCTTTGTTCCCGCGCACTTAGTAACTTGAAAACAAACATTACAACATTAAATAACATTTAAGTAGTTAATTTCATATTCAAAAATTTTGAGACGCAATATTTTATTACAAATCGTGTTTCAACATGTGAATAATCGTATTTTATAAATTATGATTGGCTAGGGTCTCTTACAAAATGACTTTTTATGGCAAAAACTTCTGCGTGGTGGCTATTTTAACTATACCAAACAACACTGCATAAGAGGCATTATCTAAGGGATGCCATAAACATGATCCTGAGCGTCCTGCATCTATTGTGTTACCATATTTTACCAGGTTTCTATTGCATGATCTTGCTTCCTTTTCTGA